GCAGTCCTGGGGGACAGGATGAGCCCCCCTTGTGCCGTAATGCCCTGCAGTCCTGGGGGACAGGATGAGCCCCTGCTTGGCCGGCACAGGCAAAACGGTGCAAAAACCACTGCTGCTCACAGAAATCCCCTAACGCTGGTGCTGGCTACACCCAGCCAAAGAAGGGCCCTATTCTGCCATGCACACGTGCACTGTGCCTGCCTGTGATGCCCGTGCTGACAAGAGACAGGTATGGATGAGAGACCATCAAGGCAACCAGGGTGGAAGGGACTGTGCTTCACCTGGCCACCACCCCAGCACAGGCTTAGCTTCCCACAGATCAGAGCTGGAGCCGCATTCAAGCTCACCAGCCACGTCTCCAGCCCTGACCAGTGTAAAGCTGGGGCAATTGAGTGCTGAGCCCTTCCCAAGCCTCTAAGGAAAATAAATGCAACAGGTCACCAAGGAGATCTGGGAAAAACTGGGGAACCTGCTGCTTTTGCACCCAATGTGGGTCCAGGTGGTGAAAGAGTTCCTCTCTACCTGCAGGGCCCAGGTTAAACGTAGCACAGGCTACCAAAGACACATCTCTTTAATGCTTTGTGATGAACCTCCCAGTCCAGAACATCCTGCTGTTATTGTGCCTGTGAACTTTCACTAGCACTGTATCTGTCATTAACCTAGAAGGAAACCTTTTTGTGCTCACAACCTCTGTCTGCACAGCTCCCCTCTGGAGGCAAATCCCTCATGGTGAAGACGTCAGCTGGCTGCATGCTGCAGACAAGGTTATGACTGCATTACACACCCTGAGGAGAGCAAGGCTCTATATTATGCTGGGAAAGGTTCATATTTGAAAACAAAGAGGTTTGAGGAATCAAAGGGTGATTTTACTTAGCAAAGTGCCTCAGGTCCCCATAAATCACTCTTACCCTTGCTCAAACAGGGCTGGGCTGATAGCAGAGAGGCAGAGGAGCGTGCTGTGCCCCTGTGGTTCCCGTTTCAGCCATTTGCAGCGGAGCCTGGGACCACACCGGAGCATGTGTTTAGATTAAAGGACGTTGGGGAAGTGACCTTGCCTTAGTCTTTCTGCTAAGCACCTAGCAGACTACCCAGCATGCTAAATCATTAGTAATAACAGTAACAACAGTCTGGCCTCCTTCTCCATGAGCAGTGCCTGCAATACAGATTATTAACAACAAAACAGGGACTCGCTCATCCAAAAATACACTGAAGTTAGCTAATCAGTCTATTTCCAAGCCCTCTGTTATTTCTGAGTGCCCTGAAGTCCCCAGGCGAGCACTTGCTGATGTGTCCAGCCTGATGACACTAGACACTAACAACTGGCTGGATAAGAGCAGAGTGATAGGCAGGGCTGGAGAGGATTTGATGAGTGTGGTGATCAGGGAACAGCTCTTGTTTAGGCAATGATTTCTCTATGTCCAAGTGCTCCCCATCTCCTCCTCATCTCCCCTTCTGTTTCCCTGGTGAACGGCTCTTCTCTGGTCAGAAACAATGCTCCAGAGACAGCCCTGTCCTGACCATCTCTGGGCTGGGACAGTGGAGATCAAGTGGGACCACTCCACTCTCTCCTGTTACCCTTCTTCTCTCTCAGATAACCACTTTTGACCTCTGTCAGGATGGGCAGAAGGTAGGGGTTGGACTCCTGCTCTGATGCAGCACAGCTATTCAATTGCCATTTTCCATCAGTATGGGTTTCTGAGAGGGAAAGTGAGCGGCCAAAGGGATTCAAAACACATTGTTTGTGTAAGTCTGTGAAGGCACCCTGTGGTCTCCTGTCAACCTGCAATCATATAGAAATGACCCAAATTGCACACTGAGAGGCAAATATGAAGGAGATGGGAAAAAAAGGGGAGTGGCTGCCTGGGTAAGAACAGACACACCTTCTGATCAGCTGCACAGCCAGGGCTCTCCGGCAGCAGCTCTGGGGTGGTTGTTCCTCTGCCACGGTGCCCTGTGGCACCTCTGCAGTGACTGGACCCCCCGGACCTCTCCTCTGCAAAGCCCTGTGGGCAGAGGAAGGGCGGCTGCTCCATGCACCAGCATGTGCCACCCACTCAGGCCTTCCCAGTGCACTCAGTGTCACAGCCAAAGACACAAAGTGTGTTGCTCTTCTCCCAGGTCCCCGGGGGTTCCTGCTGCCACGCCTTGAGGCAGCAGTGGGTCCCATATGCCTGACTGCTGAGCAGCACCTGTCCTCCGCCCCATCGGGAGCTGCTGGTGCTGGCCAGGAGCTGCCAAGAAAATCCTGGCCATCTCCGGCTGCAAGAGTGGACTTCCTTTCCAAATCCATGGGCTCCATGGGTACCTTGTAGATAAACCCTGCTAAATAAACAGATGTTTATACTCCTTGTATTAAAGTGATGAAATCTTAGCTTTTTGACAGTGTTGAGTCAATCTAACCTGAGTAACTGCACGAGAACTCATGTTTCCCCTAAAGGGAAACTGTTCTTGTGTAAATATATTTATTAATAATTAAAGCGGTTTTGAGTTCCTGTGTATGCAGCCCCTCTCCCCACCAGAGCTGTCTGAGAGCCTGGTATCCTCCAGCCTGCACAGGAGTCAAATGGGAAGGGATTTTGGCAGGGGGTGATGCTCTATGACAAGAGGTTTGTGGTTTAATTTTGACCTTTTTTTCTTTCTGAACAAAAAATAATGGTGAGATCTGTGTATGAGAGATTTAAAAACCTCTACTACTCCATTAGGAGCATTACCCTGAAATACTCAGTGGAGCTTCTAACAGCTCAGATAATAGGGGTGGGAAATCATTTCTGGAAAATATTCCCCTCAAAGCATCTTACCAGAGAATTGTTTCCTAACAACAACAATAAAATCTTTGTCAAATAATCCTTCAATACCACAAATATTTTGTCTTTAATTCTATCAGTGGAGATAAATTCTCAGCATAGGCAGTGGGAGTCAGAGCTCTGAGGGATTTTTTCTGACAGAGCCAGTACTGGATATCTTTGGGCAAGTCTCACATTTTTCTATGTTCTTTGGCCTATTTTTTTTTAATTCACTGTAATCTGGAACCTAATTTGATATGCCTTAAAAGACTGATTTCACATGGAAGATGCTCTGCTATCAGGGTAAGCAGCCATAAGAAATCCTAAAATAGGCAGATTAAGGGTTTGGGATCATGGGGGTTTATTTCTATGCAATTAAAGACATGATCACATTTAGAAATTGCTAACTTGTAGTTTAAGGGAAAAAAAAAGCTACTAACAACTGGGAGTCCCATATTAAAAAAACAGCTAATAACTCTATTAATTAAGGATATGATTAGCAGAGACAATGAGTTAGATAGCACGAAAGCATAGCATTTAATTCAATGCAGATTTTCAGTGGACATGGCATGGCCAAGGCAGCTGTGTATTAATTAGTGCTCTGAAGAGGGCGAGGAGAACAGGAAAGGGAGAGGGAAATTGGCAGGTGTAGAAATGAGATTAGACAACAACAGAGGATTTTTCTCTCCAGAACAGAAGTCGTGCAGAATCCCCATCAGCCTCACTAACATGTTTTGTATAACGGAAGGATCCATGCCACGAGAACAGGCAGGGCCGTAAGGCACAGCTTGGGGAGAGGGAGGACAGCTCTCGGGGCTCGCCTGTACAGCATTTCCAGGCAGTCGTGACCAAACAGCAGCCTCCATTTCCCACCCTTGTTTTAAATGCTGCTGGCTATTTGTTTGTGGTGAAGTGCCTCCACGCTCAACTCTCATCTTTACACTGGCGTAACTGCTGCAGCTGCACGGGGAGACCGAGCCTACGAGCTTCCCCGTGACTTTCCTCCAGTGCCTGGGTGCTCTGCTCTTAGTGGAAACTCAGTCTGGAGAGAACGATGCTGTGCCCACATCCCACAGCCGCTCCTCTTGGCTGTCGGCTCTACCATGAAGTGTCCACACAGTGCCGAGTGTGCCATGCACTGTGGCACCCCCGTGACCCCTCCTGCACGGGGAACTCGTGGGCTGCCCAGGGAGCCCGGTCCCTCCTGGGTGACCTCTGAGCCCACGGCTCTGCCCTGTGTCGCGATCCCGTGGTAGGAGGCCAGCGCTGGGCTGGGCAATCGCTCAGGGCTCTTTTATGTATCCCTGCAGGGACGTGGGCAAACAAAGCGTCCGCTGCAGGTCGTGGGCCCGGTCAGCCCCCAGCCCGGGTCGGACCCTGGCTCTCCGTACAGCCTCACCCAGGTCTCGGGCGCGTTCTCTCACGACGAGTGGTCAGTTCACACCCCTGCAGACGGGGAAGAAAGCGGTAAGTGTGAAGCGGCACCTCCACCCGCGCATGTGGAGCGATCCCACGGGATGGGGCGGTGGTTCAGGGGCTGTTGCCCACAGCATCGGAAAACATCGCTTCTTTCTCTGGGTCTTCCTTGTCTCCACAGTTAAAGCGGCGCCCGTTGGAGGGCAGAGGAGACTCGCAAGCCGTTCGGAGCTCCACTTTCGTGCGGGCAGAGGCGCTCCGGGGGTGGGGCCGCGCCTCGCTCCCCTCCCGGTGCCCAGGGGAGCGGGAGAGCAGGGGCTGTGGGTGGGGGGCAGTGGGCTGTGAGGGGGCTGCGGAAGGCTGTCTGTTCCGGCTCGCCGTGCTGTTCCGCAGCTAGGAAAAGTGCTTCTTCCCCCGCCCCTTTCCCCCCGGCCCGTCCTGCTCGAAAACGCGAAGGCGGCAGCAGAGAGGACGGGGACAGCTGGAAGAAGCCCCTCCTGCGGCGGGGAGCTGCCCTGTCCAGAGTGTCCCTTTGCCACCCTGTCAGTGGTGCGGGGGGCATCGGTAACTTCACCGCATGCACGTGACGGGCCCGCACCGGGACGCGGTGAGTACCGGCGGGAGGGCGGGAGCGGGGGCGGGCGGAGGGCGGGGGCAGGGAGGGGGCGCGGCCGCGCGCCCCACCGCCCCCCGCCGCCCCCCGCCGCGGCCGCCACTTCCCGCGGGCGTCGCTCGGCAGCGGGCGCTGCCTCCGCAGGAAGCGGCTCCGCGCCCGCCCCTCCCGCGCCCGCCGACGGGCTCATGCACTGTGCGGCGCGGCGGCGCGGGCGGCGGGATGGCTCCGGTCCGGGCGGCGGGCGCTGAGCTGCGGCCCCCCGCGCTGCTACCGCCGCTGCTGCTGCTGCTATTGCCGCTGCTGCTGCCCGACCCTGCCGCCGGCTTGGAGGTGCAGCGCAAGTTCCTCTCTCCCACTCCCACCAACAACTTCGCGCTGGACGGCCCCGGCTCTCGCGTCTACCTGGCGGCCGTCAACCGGCTCTTCCAGCTGTCGGGGGGCGAGCTGGCGCTGGAGGCGGAGGCGGCTGTGGGGCCGGTGCTGGACAGCCCGCTGTGCCACGCGCCGCAGCTGCCACAGGCCTCCTGCGAGCACCCCAGGGTGCTCACCAACAACTACAACAAGATCCTGCAGCCGGACCCCGAGCAGGGCGTCCTCGTCGTCTGCGGCTCCATCTACCAGGGCCTCTGTCAGCTGCGCAGCATGGCCAACATCTCGGCGGTGGCCGTGCGCTTCCCGCCGGGCGGCAGCGACTCTGTCACCGTCTTTCCCAGTATGCTGAACGTGGCGGCCAACCACCCCAACGCCTCTACCGTGGGGCTTGTGCTGCGCCGTGGCGGCGGCGGCGGCGGGGCGCGGCTGCTGGTGGCCGCCACCTACACCGGCTTCGGCAGCCCCTTCTTTCCCCGCAACCGCAGCCTGGAGGACCACCGCTTCGAGAACACGCCCGAGATCGCCATCCGAGCCCTCAACGCCCGCGGCGACCTGGCCAAGCTCTTCACTTTCGACATCAACCCCTCCGACGACAACATCCTCAAGATCAAGCAGGGCGACAAGGCGCGGCACAAGCTCAGCTTCGTCCGCGCCTTCCTGCAGCGCGGGGCCGCGCCGCGCGCCCGCCGCCCCTACGCCTACCTGGCGCTCAACAGCGAGGCGAACGCGGGCGACAAGGAGAGCCCGGCGCACAGCCTGCTGGCCCGCATCTGCCTGGGCGAGCCGGCCGAGGCCACCCTCAACGGCAGCGGCGAGACCAAGAAGCTGACCGAGTCCTACATCCAGCTGGGGCTGCGCTGCGGCGGCGCCGCCGACGCCTTCACCCGTCTCGTCTCGGTCTTCCCGGCGCGGGCGGCTTGGCGCAGCCCCGCCGCGCCCCCCGACCCCGGCCCGGCCCCGGCCCCGGCCCCGCCGGCCCCCGAGGAGCTGCTCTTCGGCGTCTTCGAGCGGGCCGGGGCCGGCGGCGCCGGGGGGCGGCCGCAGTCCGCGCTCTGCGTCTTCCGCTTCGCCGAGATCGAGGAGACGATCCGGGCCGCCCGCAACTCCTGCTTCGTCAGCCCCACTGCCGGCATGGTCACCGTGCTGGACAGCGTGGTACAGGGCACCGGCCCGGCCTGCGAGAAGAGGAACATACAGGTACGGCGGGTGGCGGGTACCGCCGGGGCGGGGGGCGCGGGGAGCCGGTGGCCGGCGAGGGGACAGTGGCCCCGTCCCGCCGCCGCTGCTGCCGCCTCCCCCGGGCGGGAGCACGTCCCGTGGCCGGAGGCCGTCCCGGGCGGGCAGCTGAGCCCCTACACCCCGCTCTCCCCGCTCCTCTCTCCGCTCGGCTCTCCCCGCCCCGCGTTCCCCGGAGACCACCCCCCCGTTACCCGGGGACAGCGTCTTTCCCACGCCCCGTCCCCGGTGCCCACCTCCCTGTGGGTACCCTGCGCGACGGGGGTCAGTGGGCATCGCCGGCGCCACGCCGCGTCCCACGGCGGGCAGCCCTGCCAGGGACTGTACGCTGGGTGCCTTGGCTCCCTGCGTTCGGGACAGAATTGACCACTGTCACAATGTGTTACCGAGTGGCCTTAAATGTTAGCGCCAGACAGAGATGTCTGTTTCGCTTTTCACTAAAAACGTGCGATGCTTTAGAAAAAAGAGACAAAAAAGGTCTGCTTTAATGCTGCATTTTTTCCTTCCTCTGGGAAGTGTGCACAACTCAACTCCATCAAAGATCGTGAAAACATCTGTTTGATTTCAAAGGCGAGGTAGAGCATCTGGGCTTGGGCTTCCTTGTGCAATGCCAGTGGCAAAGAGAGAAAGGTTTCCCATGGTAACCGGAGTGTTTAGTGTGGCATCTTCACGCTGTGGTAAAATATGTAGTCTTAATGTACTGGTTCATAGACCTACTCTAGCAAAGTTTAACAGTTTTTCCCTGATGGCAAAGTAAAAGCTGCCTGACAGCCAGGAAACCTGTTAGTTTGAGCTAATTCCACACTCTCAGTCCTGAGGCCTTGGTGTGGTCATGGCTCTCAGAGGAGTCACTGGGAGTCAGGAATCCTATTTACAGGATGTGAAAGCACCCTCAGCTCTTGTTGGCTGTGGCTGATGCTCAGTATCCCTGCAGATCAGCCCCTCAGGACTGAATCCCCTGGCAGGATTGAACTGTCTCTACCAGGCGGGTCAAGAGGCAGCATTGGGGCTGGGGCTGCTGGAGATACCCGGGGAGTGAGCCTGGTCATAAATGAAAGTCAGTGGTAGAAGTACCCATCACCCTTGAGCTCCCCCAGGGCTTCAGGACTGCTGGGGAGATACTGGTTTTTCCAGCTTTCCATAAGTAAAGAAGATAATCATGACTAATAGCAGTCTGTTGAAGTTGAAAGTATCAAGTGCTGTATGCCATAAGGTGTTTAAACAGTTAATTCCTGAGTGACTCCAGGGAGACTTGGCACAGATAAGATTTCACTCTGTCTGTCTTGGCCTGCCATGCTGTTCCACTGTAAGGCATGCTCCTGGTAGCACCCTCCTGTCTGAGCACTCCCTGGGTAGCAAGGAAGGAGACCAGGAGCCTGTTGTCAGTGATGCCACAAAGGCTGTCTGAGAAGGACACTGTGTTCTTGAAGGGGTGTGTGACAGGGGACAGGAGGGTCAGGGATGTGAGCTAGAATCAGTGACCGCTCGCTGGGAGTCGGTGGGAGCCCTCTGTGTTTGTCACTGTGGCGAGATCAGGCTGCAAGAAAATTTGTTCCTGTGGAGAGAGCAGTGTAACTGGTGGTGATATATGGTGGATGGGGAGATTGGATTCTAGTCCCAACTGACACTGCTGGCCTTGAACCAGTTGTTTAACCTGAGGTACCTCAGTTTTGCACATACTCCTGTATTTCTTACTATTATTCAGAAACCCAACTCGTGTAGCATCGTATTGCATTTGTAAAGCTGCTTTGAGATCCTTTGATGTCAAGTACAGCAGGATATAAATGAAGCATAACATTAATATTCGTTCATGCCTAATATTTCTACACATCCCATTTATTTGAAGCGTATTCCTCTAAAACCGCTGACTGAGCCTGCTGGGAAGCTGTCCTACCAGTCAGAAGGAGAACCTTTTACTTAATCATTAGAATTGCCAACAAGTTAACAAGCTGTTTTTGTTTTCAAGTCCCAGAGTGACAAGCATCAAGAGAAGAGTTGTAATATTTTGTCTTTGTGCTGCAAAAACCTAACATCAATTTCCACCTTCAAGACAGTGAAGACTCTAATACGTTTTGTGTCCCAGCCCTGTAAACACAGCAGGAAAATGTATTAAAGCAGCAGCTGGTCTGGTGGAGCGAATCAGAATCTATCTACCTTTTCATTGTGAGCTCCACTTCTCCTCCTGTTACTGGGTTTCCAGTTTTCCTTTTGCCTGTGCATCACTGATAGGTGCTCCAGTGTTAGCAAGTGTGGCTCATTAGTTCTTCCTGAGGACCAGGCAGTTGGGTTTTAAGCTCCTTTTGGAAGAAAACAACCCATAATGTTGGCCTGATTCATTCTGAGCGCGTGCTCAGCTGAAGTAGTTGGTTGATACAAATCCGGAGCACGGGCTGTTAGGCGTAATGTGGTGTGAAAGGAAAATCATTGCCCCCTTGTGTGCTCTCCAGTCTAATTGAATGCTTCTCTCCTGCAGCACTTGCTGTGACTCAGCCAGGGAGCTCCAGCACTCGCCTGCCAGTGAGGTTTTTGGGAGTGGGCAGTTAAGATGCCAGCCGTCCCTGTTCATCCCCACAGCACTGCTGCTCGGTGCCAACCGACGTGGGGCCTGGCTCCTTATCCTTCAGCACCGTGCTGAGTGGTCTGAGGGAGCCTGGCACTGAACGAGGGGCTTTGTCCCTGTGAATGTTGATGTGGTGCCAGCCGCTTGTTTGGCTCCTGCTGTGACCATGTGGCGCTGGCCACACAGGGGGCTGTGGAGGGCAGATGGGGCAGGTGGACCTGAGGACAGCCCTCTGCTGGCTGGTCAGCCTGTGTTCCCCAGGTTGGGAAAGGGGAGCCACCAGCTTGGCTTGGGAATGGTCCCCTTGCTTTGATAGAAGCACTAACTTGCAATTAAGCTTAACAGTTTTGTGAAACACAGAGAAAATGTGCAGAGGAGGATGGCCTGGGTCAGGAGTGGGGGCGTTGGTTCTTCTCAATGAGCATTGCTGAGAAGTCACATAGGGAGGAGATGATTTCTCAACGCAGCTCAAGGGAAGGAGGACGTGTGAGGGAAGGATTTAGGTTGGTTGGGTTCTTGCACTGCGAGTGAGTGGGTGAGCTCTAGGATTGCTTCCCCTCAACAGAAATAGCTTTTTATAATGAATTTTGTGTCAAATGCTAGTCTTCGTAACACATGCCGCTAAAATGGAATACTTGCGTGGAATCGCTGCGGCATGTTGCCCACTCAAAGCCCGTGTGGAATTTGGACTCAAGCCCCAATAAGGGAAGAGGAGTATGAGCTCTCTGGAGCAGACTGCCTGTAACAGTGTTTGCAGCAACGTGCTGACAGAGCTTATCAAATTCCGAGGACACTGTGTGGGTTTACTTCATATTTGAGCTATTCTGCCCCAGCAGGATCAAGGCCCAGTGGGTTTGAAGGTCACGCTGGCTGCGTGGCTGGAGTGCGGCACAGCTGTGGGATGCTGGAGCAGTTGTGAAAGCAAAGTAGGCGAGAACCCATCCCCCAGTTTCCCACTGGCCTGGGAGCAGTGGCCATGTGGGGTGCCCCAGCACTGTCCCCCTTGGAGCCACCAAAACCAGAGGTCTGCCTGGCTGTTCCTTTGGCCACACTGTCTCACTGCCGTGTCCCAGCAGAGCGAAACCCTGACAGTGTCCTCTCACCACTGCTCTGTCTCTCCATGGGTGTTTTGGCAGGGGACATAGCTGAGCACCTTTGTGCTGTTCCAGCCAGCAGCTGCCTTTTTGGGCAGGGAGATGAGGACGGCTGCTGGCAGCCCCAGCCCCACTCTCTGAGCCATAGCTGCGGCAGAAAGGCGATGACTGTGGATTTCCAGGCGTATCTACAGACCTTCCCGCTCTGTGTCTGAGCAGTGGCTGACGGGGGGGTCTGAGTTGAACACAAAATAAAATGCACTATTTGATGAGGAAGCTCACTTGAGGAAAAGCTGAACTGGAAAGCCCATCCCACACTTGGGGCTGTGCCGGACTCAGTGTCTTCTGTGGTTTCTGCACGAGCCTTGTGCTCTCCTGAAACCTCCCAGAGAGGTACCTTGGGAAAGCAGGCTTGTATTCATTAGGGTTAGATTTGCTGGCCAGGGATCTGCATCTCTCCTGGGAAGTGTTTTGGGGTCTCCAACTCAAAAAAGGCTGAAAATCCAGTTTATTTCCTCTGCTGAAAACCAAAGGCACAGCGGCATGGGATAATGATGCGTTTCAGCATTAATTCTCAAGTTTCTGGCTCTTGTGGCTTTGTGTCAGATCCTGCATGGTCACTGAACACAGCATTTGGGGGTGTAATGATGAGATACCCACCAGTGAGCTGTACTGTAAGGGCTTGTTATATAAAACGAACTCCTTGGGTAGACTGTATAAACAGTATATATGTGTGCCTGGGCATGGAAATGTGGTTTGAAACCAGTCAGAAAATGTTCCCAAAGAAAAAAACCTCATATACACGTGGGAATATGACAAAGCATCTACTTACTGTCCAAATATACTGTGGCATCTCCGTGGGACTGGGTTTTATAGGAACTGAGTTACTTTGAAGTGCTGGTTTAGACTAATTTAGAAATTCCAAACATGAAACTAACTGTGCTCTAACCTTACATCTACTCAAATCCAGAGGATTAGCTACAGAAAGGAAACTGGGAATTTACACTTAATTTCTTCATTAAAAATGAGGCAGGAGTTCTTGTAGCAGGCCTAATTTCTGTGTTTTGCAGCACAGGCTGTGTTTGCAGTTGCTGGCACCACCCCATGGTGCCCCTGCCCCAGTACTGCAGAGCTGCACCGTGCTCCTTGTCACTACCATCAGTTTTGCTTTGGGATGTTGCTTTCCAGATAGCAGAAGATCTGTGTCACTCCATCCTCCCCACAGGGGCTGGGGGTGAGGGGCTGGGCTGTCAGCAGAGGGACCGGTGGGGCCTGGGATGCCCTAGATGAGAGGTTTAAGCCACAAC